TTTTTTTTTTTTTTTTTTTTTTTTTTTTTTTTCAAAGGTGAAAGAAAACAATTCATGCGTGTCATCCTTGTGAAAGGGCCATATCACCCTAGCGCGGCTGATTTCAGCTGCGTGATCTCGAAGATCGCACGGCCAGAAATCGGTCGCACCTCTTGCCAAATCACGGGCTGCTCCGAAAAGAGCTAGCCTAGTAGTGCAGGTTGTTAGGTTCGATCCCCATGTCTGCAAGGTAGTAATCTGGCGACGGTACCTACTGGGCTAGCTCCTTTTCACATCAGAAAAGGAGCGGCCCTTCCATATGAAGGGCTCCTCGTGCCTAGCAGGCCCCTTGCTAATGCCTGGCAGGCCCCTTGCTAACGCCTAGCAGGCTATGCCTGCTAAGCCGGATTGCTGTCGTGGCTGGCAGGCGGGGTCGGCGGCCAACAACTTGAACAGCTGCCGTACTTAGCCGGCCACAACGCCTTCGCCCCCGGGTCCTTGGCGCAAAAACTGTATGGACCCTAAGCCATCCCTTTACGCCACGATCCATCTAGCCGCGACGACCCCTTCTTGGCCCGCTTAGGCCCTGAATCGCGCGGCTGTTATAGGTAGAGTAGGTTCAACTTTAGTTTCCCCACGACCGCACACCAGCCAGGCCTCGTCGAAACCCGCGGACGACAGTGCCGACCACCGTTATCCCGCACGGATGTCGGTGTCGCCCTGCGTCGACGACGTGAGGTTCAAAAAGTTCAAGTCTTTCAATCATAGCGCTGGTCGAGATAAACTATGGTAACGTCAATCTCATCAAGTCTTCTAATTAAGTGAGAAGGTCAGACAGCGTCCGACGTTGAAAAACACGGGCAGATACCCTTGTCAGGGTTTCTGTCCCAACAGCGCGAGTGCTGATCCAGAATCTGGTAGTCAACCTAGTACCAGCAGCCGACGTGAGGCGGGGTTGCCTTGGACATATGGGGTGCCCACTTGTTCCCCGACGGGTCCTATATCTTCGGACGAGCGTAGTACGGTGAAGAACACAATGAAACTCTGGAATGATCAAAACCGTCCTAATCTTGTTTTCGTAGAGCCTGTCAAATTGTTACAGTTCTTAGGTTTGTTTGATCTTATTTGCCCTCTACAGCCAAAGATTCACATGCGCGTGCAACTAAAATTTCATACCCTGGCCATTATTGCACGGTGAAGTTAGTGTGTCCGCACGGTTGCACATGGACATGGCATTCGTGCCATGGCAACGGTAAGGTAATGGAAACACGTGCCGAAACTCAATTGTACCACGCGGCTGTGTCGTGCGGTTTGACGCACACGCAAACCAATGATTTTTGCAGTGAGCTCGGTTTGCTCCCCGTTCCAAAAGGATCATTTTTCAAAGTCTTTCGGAACAAGGGGCCCGAGAGTGTGGGATGGTGTGAGAAAGCGGTATCCATGTTGGAAACCTTCTTTGATGCAGCGATTAAGAAGGTAAAAGCATTAGGTGAGGCGAACTCTGTAGTTTTGACGATCGATGGGCGTTATGATTCATCTCGTGACGCCCAACATTGCACTGTCGCGGCAATGCACCTGAAGACGCTTCTCATTATTGGCATGGTGAGCTTGCGACATTCCGCCACACAATCGTCGTGGCAACTTGAGAGACCTGCTACTGCGATGCTACTTGATAAACTCATTGATGAGAAAGGTTTACGCGTAACCGAGGTTGTTCACGACGATTGTCGACAGCTGTTAGTCTTGTTGCCTCCACGTAACATCCGCGACTCGAAAGATAAATGGCATAAAGCGAAGAATATGGTGAAACGTTTTCTTGAGAAAATGGTAGGTAGCAAGTTGACGGTTTCGAAATCCATGGACGAGTGTGACACGACTGACGAGTTGCACATGTTGACCATCAGCGCGCTCCGACAATGGTTGGAAGATCGCAATCCTCTGCCTTTGAATGATAAAAGACCAAAGAGAAAGCAGAAGTGGGTGAACGTTGTTTGGAGGGTCATAGAAGTTGATCGTGGAGAGAAATCTTTGCCAGCTATCACAGGTTTGTCTGCTAGTCACGCGAGTGATTTGAACACCTGGTTCAACAAAACGTGCACGCTACGAAGGGATGTCGGGGATGACGACGCCCATGGAATGTCGTTCTTCTTGCTGACTAGTAGGCAGGTTGTCATGTGGGATGTGCTGAGCATGTTCCAACCGTTTGCAAAGCTCTTGGGGGCCCGAGTGCACAACCTGCGTACAAGAAGGGAAGCACTGCTCACAAGGATGTTGCAAATTTTTTATCTGGTGAAGCGTCAGAGTCGAGCATGAGGTGCTATACTCGAGCTCGTACGATTTATGACAACGAAACCGGACATTCTATAATGAACAAGTTTGCTCCAAAGCGTATCCACTTTGACAAATCGTACGGAGCGAGGATGACGTGCTTTGCTATTGATTGAAATATGAATGCCTTGAGGCCTCCTTTGAAAACTGTATATAGAAAACCTGCGGGGGTCCGTCACAGGGAAAAACCATCTAGGCGACATATTCGACCGAAGCATGAATACACGTGGCGCAGTCTGTTGACAAGATTTGTGCATGGGTCTGCATCCGTGTCCGACTAGGCGCACATTTATCTCAGACAAGCTGATCGTGATCCGAAATATCAGACTACACCCACGACAATTTTCTCGGTGCCCTCCGGTCTTTATAATTTCATCCCAGAAGACGCTAGAGATGTGGACGATGACAGTGTCATTTGCATTGCAGGAGTTTCAAAGGGTGTTGCAGATGACGACGATGTGTCCGGTGCACTACAGGATGATGACGACGAGAACGTGCCCGGCATACTAGGTTGACGTTCTAACAAGTTTTCAATCCCATCTTTCTGTGTGTGTTTGTATGTGTTTGTGAGCATGCTTGTGTGTATGTTTGTGTGAGTGAATAAATCGTTGCGCATTTGTATATGTGGTTATGTGTGTGTTTGTACATGTTTTTGTGTATGCGTTTGTACGTGTACCTCTATTTGTGTGTGTTTAAATCTTTCCATTTGTGTTTGTATGTGTGTTTGTATCTGTGTTATGTCTGTTTGTGTGTGTTTGTGTATGTGTTTGTATGTGTGTCTCTATATCATACTATATGTGTTTATACATATATGTGTATCATGTATGTGTGTATATATGTTATGGGTATGATGTATGTGTATTTGTGCACTAATGCATGGACGTACGTATGCATGTGTGTATATATATTTCATGTATTTATATATGCGTGTATATATTATCGAGGTCAAACCACCTGATGAGGCGGTGAAATTCCACCGAAACAATACTTGCAAAACATCACAAACCCAAGTTACCGGCCCAGATGTATGAGACTTTTTTTTCCGAGCTGTCATTATCGTACTACTCACACGATCATTTGACTGGGGCCCTTTGCCCGAGTTCGTTAGAATAATTGGTTTGGGGAACTTGGGAGGTTCACGAGTGTTACGCCTGCAAAGGTGGGATTTATGTTTATGGTTGCCCTGGGAAGGACGAACTATTTTAGTGCGGCCTGTATCGTATGTATGACCTCCCACAATGCAAAAGTAGATGACCCAGTATGTTCGTTCTCGTCCATGTATCACTCTTACCTCTCCTCCACCTCTTCCTTCTCGTCTTACACTTTCCTCCTCGTCCCCCTCGTCCTCATCTACTTATTCCTCCTCCTCGTCCTCCTCTTCTTCTTTCTCATTCTCCTCGATCTTGTTTTCTTCTACGTCACTCTATCATCATCGTCGTTGAACATAGGTTATCCGGATCATAAACAATGATAACCGTTTGTGTGTAAGTGTGCTCGTTGTCAAACAATGAAAACGCAAACAATATAGAACATACCTAGAGTGTTGACAGCGGGGCATGAAACAATAACAAACACGACTACAACATGAATGAACAGACGACAGGGAAAAAATACGGCCACGAGAGACATAAATAAGATGTAGTTCCGATGCATGGAAAACATAAGATTGTTTAATATACTCTCTCTCTCTCTTTATATATATATATATATATATATATATATATATATATATGTCTCTCTCTTTCTGTTGTGTGTGCACCAAACTCATGATGCACTTTTGATATACGAGTTATCTTTGTTCCTCCGTTTCGCGTTCATGTATCAACCCTATCGTGGCTCGCTGTTCTCAAGCGGGGACTGCGGGTTAGGAACAAAGTACACGTAAGGCTCATTTGGTGGATTGGGCCACCGCATGCGCATCGCAGTCTTAAATGTATCTGGTAGTCTTTGTCGCGCGCCGTATCCGCATAAATGAGCGAACCCCACATACCCCGTATACTGGTTCCGCTTCACGTTCAAATGCGGGTTGCCAACCAGCAATTGAAGGAATTCATCAACACGATCCTCAGGGCCGACGAACCGCACTGCTTCTTCCACATATCGCGCAGGTTCCGACCACATTGCCCGGATGTCGTCGGCGTCCTTCACACCACCCGCCTGCAGACCAGCATTTCCTCCAGCTCCAGCAATCCTCTGTCGCCCAGGTCTATTACGTATTGCTCCTCCACGGCGCAAGGGAACATCGAAATGTTCTTGGGTACCCCGACCTCGTCGTCCTCGTCCGCGACCAACCATCGCCATGTGCGCCAGCACGTCACCTCCGATCTGAGCATCCGCCATCTCTCTCTCTCTCTCTCTCCCTCTCTCTCTCTCTCTCTCTCTCTCTCTCTCTCTCGCTCTCGCTCTCGCTCTCACTCTGTGTGTGTGTGTGTGTGTCGTAAACGACGCACCACAATTCTCGAATATCACGTAGTAACACCTCGCCTGTTTGCATTGCAGTGACTAAGAATACGGATGAAGGATGACACACATAATTGCGCACACGAGTTAGCATTCATTCACAACATCAGAAACAAATCCGAAATTCGTGTTGTTGTTTCATAAAAGTATCCTGTTTGACACAAGAAAGGCATTTTCAAAAACTAATTTGACTATACCACAATCTTATAACACCCCGACATCGCTGTCGGAGCTTATACCCTTACAAGGGTATCCGCTCACGATTTTGCAATCGACACAATGACGACACCAACTGCCAGAACAGAGACAGCTAAAAACAGAAAATGGGGCAAATCCCTTGACCGTTAAGGTCATAAAAGTGTAGTAACCGCAAGGGCCAAAACATGGCACGCGCGGACAAGAGTTAAGGGTTAAAAATTTCGAGTGTTCGTCTGCGTCATGCAAAGACCACAAAGGTTAGTGGATTAAAAATTTGAATGACCGCGCGCGCCATTCCGACACATGCAGAGACTGCAAAATAGTTAGTAAATAAAACCTCCGACCACAAAGGTCGGAAGGTTAGCCAAAACAGGAGTGGTCGCGCGAGATGCAACAACGTTTTATCTCATTTAGTTGATGACTGAGAAAGTATGACTGAGTCCGCAAACGTCGAATGTGTCAGAGGAGCGAGACGCAAAACCACAGAGCGGGGCGCAAAACCACTCTCCGCAAACTAGAAAATGTGTGGAAATTAATAAAGGCCCGGCCATGCAGCCGGGGCAACTAGAAAGGAGGGGCCTCGCCTGTTGTAACAGGCTGCGGTGGGCAACGGAGGCTTGGGTTTTCCTCTACGGCGGACTGCGAGCCTTATGTACTGATCAAACTAGGCTCTGTACTCTACTTAGGGCAAATTGCCTCCTAATAGAATCGAACTAGGAGTGAACCCAGTAGGTACAGGCACAAACTGATATGTGAGGGATCTTGGGATCAAGTCCGACCTGCCTTCGGGCTAGCTCCTTTTGCTAGCTGTGGAAGGCGGGGCCTGCCTTTTCCAACCGCCCTCAGACGGGTGGGATTCGAACCCGTGACCTCAGAATCGAGGTGATATACAGTTAGACCCCGCCGTGACAGTTGGCACGATAGGGTATTTAGTAGTTAGATTTCGTTTCTTTGTTAGATTTTTTTTTTTTTTTTTTTTTTTTTTTTTCATCCTGTTGGTTGCTATCGAATGCCCCTGCCTCTGAATCAGGGCAGGCTCGACGTAGGAAAAGGTAACCTGTCTCGCAAAAGTTGGACCACCGGCCGCTCAGATCGCAGCGCCCCGAAGGTGAGCAATCACAGCAGCGTCGCAAGGAGCTATCGGGAATTGACAGAAAAGAATGCGGGGAGAAAAAAAAGTCGGCACGCGGAAAAAGAGAACGCCGAGCGAATAACACGATCGTAAGCAAAGGAGGAGTAGCAAGAAGTAGAAGAGGAAGAGGGAGAAGAGGAAAGAGGAGAGGAAGAAGGAAAAAAAGGAGAGTGGGAAGAAGAAGAAGAGGGCAGCTTCGCAGACACTCGACCTTTTCAGCGCCCTCATCCCGTGGGTTCCAAGGAGGATCGTCGTGGGATTGCCTTCATATCCGCACCTACCGCGGTGCGCCCTCACAAAGGAGCGTGGGAACGTGACGAGAGTGGCATCACGAAGAAGATAACAAACACGAGAGTAAAAAAAAAAGAAGGAGGGAAGAGAGGTGAAAGGAGAAGGAGAGAGAATCAGAGGGAGGAAACCATTCATGAATGAAGCGAGAGGCATTCGGCTATCAACGACAACGGCGAAGGAGCAAGAGTGAGAGAACAAGTAAGTCTCCAGTTTCATGGCTCACCCTGATATTATCAACGACAAAGACAAGGAAGATGAATGAATAAATAAATAAATAAATAAACAAATGCATAAATAAATAAGCAAATAAATAAAATAAAGAGAATGAATCTAACACTATAATGGGAGAAGATGCATTCACTAAATGCGCATGTACGTGGGTGTGTGTGAGTGAGAGAGAGAGAGTAGAGAGAGGATACTTCAATCATCTCGACGTACCTGGCCGGGTAAGTCGCCGAAGCCACGGTTGGCCTTGCGCAACTTCCATCGATAAGAGTAAGCAAGATCGATCTGATCTCCCGCCATGAGGTAGAGATAATCGCTACTTCTATAAAGATGTGCGTGTGCGTGCGGAAATGGCATGCCGGACCTCGCGTTGCTTCCACTGACAGGAAGAACGAAATCGAAGGAATCTACCACTAAGAATGGGGCGATATGCATCGCCTCACTTACTTATGCGCATGTGTGAGTTTGTACGTTGAATGTTTGTGTGTTGGTGTTTCCACGTTTCAGCGAAAGATGCATTCCGTTTTTGCTCGTCGTATCAATGAAGTGTGTGTGTGTGTGTGTGTGTGTGTGTGGGCTGTCTCTTATACACATCTAGATGTGTATAAGAGACAGGTTTAA